TATTTTAAACTATTTATGATGTAATACATGTAACAACATTCGGTTTCTGGAAATATTTAACATGGGTTGCTTACATAATTCACGGAATATGAAACGGTTTAACCCATAAATGTTGAAAAATATATTCCATTCATCAGAATATTAACAATAATTATATCATTTTGAACAATATGCTATATCGAAATTTTCAAATTTTAACCATTTGTACAAGCGTAATACGATGAGTTCTGGAAACCAAGCTAATAACATTCACTAACTCCTTTTCCTCTGTTAAGTAATGGTAAAAAACGGCATCATACCCATATTGTTGAAGTCACTTGGTTGAACTATTTTTTTACAACGCAGAGTGAGTTTGTAGATATATATATTTATATTACCATCATTGTATTCTTCACGTTAAAATATGTATACTCTGTAAAGAAAGTTCTCATTTCGTAAGCATAAGATGCTTAAGATATGTTTTAATTCACTTGTTTTTCTTTCGTAAAACCAAATTATAAATAAAATAATACAACATATATGCTGCTCCTGTCAGTCATTGCTTCAACAACCTATAACGAATGTATGCTGCGTGTGCATTTATCAAATCGACTTCGATGAAAATAGTTCAAAGGTTATGCTTGTTTAGAAAATTATTCTAGTTTCTATATTTAATTACAAGAAAATATCGAAAATACGTTGTTGACCGCTTTCACATATCCCTATCCTTATGAAGCATGAGACATGTATTTTTAGATTGACGAAGAAATATATTATAAGATACCGTAGCAAAATATAGCGGTTCCTTGAAGTGTGGTGGCTATATATATATCATGCTTATTTAACTCGACCTATTTTTCAAATTGTTTCAGACATGAACTTTGTTGAACTTATTTAAAACAATTTAAATAATGTAAGATATTTGAGCAGATAAACACGAAAACGGTTTAAGAACCTTTCATTAAATGATGTTCATATAATATCTTATTAATCCTTATGTTGTTCTTGGAATTAGGTCTACATTAGTTCTGTCTGCGATGTCTATTGCCGTGAATCATCAAAGTGGCTCAAACATCGTCACGCGATATTTCAATTAAAAGACAGGTCCATTGAAGCGAGTTCAGATCGCGATCTACATACGGGTTAACTCAAAAGGTATACCAACTCCTTGCATGGGTATCAAATGCTTCTAGAGTTGAAAAGTGGTTATGGTACATTTATATAACCTTGTGTTTGTGTGAAATACATGAGAGCAAGAACACCAAAAACTGTACAAGGCATGATTGTATGGATAGCAAAGGGATCTAACAGAGTGATGCAGACCATCACACAAGTGAAACAGTTTTACGGTAGAGCGCCAATTTCCGGAACCCCGATTTCGTGTACTTCCGATTATTTGAATCGTTGCTGTATCCCGAAATATATTGCTTATTTTATTACCATTCATCTGTTTATATAAGCTGCATGTAAACTATGTGTATGTCTTACGTAAAGATAATCCGTGCCCTATTGTATTTATCATAAAGTTCACACTAACTGATTTGAAATACACAGAAAAATACCCATGAATTAAGTGTCAATGTACACATTGATATTCAACACAATTTGAGTTAACGTAAACGGAGTTATCTAGGTTTTGTTTGTAAATTTGTACTCATAAAATTCAAGATCAGAAAAACTGAAACTACCACGCCTATCGTATAGCTTAGTAACTGGTCATGTTTAAGTAAAAACCGAGTTAAGACCTTAAGTGGCTGAATTTGAAGAGTCCGCAGTGTCTTTGGATATTTAAGTATTTGTTTACGTTTATGAAAATGTAGCTGCTTTTAACGTAAATAAATGTGAGTATTTACGTGAGGAATTTATAATTATTACTAAACGACTACAGCTGATTTCAAAACATATAATTACTTCTAGTATTGTAAGTACAAGTGTTTTGAGTATCTCTGGAGTAGATACTAACCTAGAATTATCAGACTTTTGAGAGACTCTCGCAATATCACAACGATAAAAAGTTGCGGAAATGTTTTCGAAGAACGTTTTCGATTTTCAATCGTGAACTATTCTTTTCTTGTCTCTGAGGCCCTAAAAATGATCGTGTGCGACAGGTTTTACCGGACGGGTATGGACTGTCGATATTTCGTCCAAGTATCTGAATAAAAAGAAAACCCACATATACATGTACTAAGGCGTCATAAAGTTTATAAATTCATAATATACTCCATTCACAATGAGTCTGTAAGTGTTTTACTCTTCATACAAGTCATAAAATGGCAAGATGCATATTTAACAAAGTATAGTTTGCGTAGCGCTTCTTCTACATCGTACATATTTTGTGTGTGAGAGAATAACGACCTTTGGTGTCTCATTGGTTTCTGTTCTTGTCTTTTACATCTTCATTGATTTCTAATTTTGGACTTTTGTGTCGCAGATGTGTGATAGCATACATTTTAAGGATGTTCATGAGCGACAGATTTTACTAGACGGGTTTCACTTTCGATACCACGTTGACGATTCTCTTGCTAATGTGTCTAACAAAACACTAATAAAAAGATGATATTTCTATTACACAATTGTTTTTTGGGAAACCCTGTAGTAACAAACATGCTGATAACGGTGACCTCGACGAGTTCCCTAATATCCCAGACTACATGGAACACCACTTTTAACGACGCCCTGTCAGCATACAGAAATATAAGAAGACTGGAAATATAGACTCGAACTCTACTATAACCTAGGTATGTCTGAAACAGTGGGGACGTCTAACACAAAACTGAAATTATACCCAGATACCACACATTATACATAGTTACATCAATATGTCTCAAACAGTGGACAATTCCACAACAAAACAAATGTTTTACCTTGGTACCACACATTATATATATGTTACCTAGGTATGTCTAAAACAGTGGACAATTCTACCCCAAAACTAATGTTATACCTTGGTACTACACATTGTATATATGTTACCAAGATATGTCTAAAACATTGGACAATTCTAACACATGACTAATGTTATACTTTGGTACCACACATTATATATATGTTACCAAGATATGTCTAAAACATTGGACAATCCTACCACAAAACAAATGTTATACCTTGGTACCACATATTACATATATGTCATCAAGATATGTCGAAGACAGTGGATACATCTAACTCAAAACTAATGTTATACCTTGGTACCACAAAACTAATGTTATACCTTGGTACCACAAAACTAATGTTATACATTGGTACCATACAGGGTCGGTGTTTGGACCACGAATATATTGTATGTACTCCAAACCGATTGGAGATATTTGTCGTCGCCATAGCCCTCGCTATCATTGCTATGCCGATGACACACAAATGTACATGGTCATAAAACCACAGGACAGTTTGAATTCAGTCTCAGAAAGTCTGGAAGCTTGTCTGACAGATATCAGGATCTGGATGAACGCCAACATGCTTAAACTTAATCAGGAAAAGACGGAACTAATCGTCTTTTCCCCAAAGTGTCAGCAAACAATGGCTCTCCAGCTCAAGGTTGGTGCCGTACTATTGAGACTGTTCCAGCTGTTAAAAACCTAGGGGTATACTTTGACAGTTCTCTGAACATGGAGAAACAAGTAAACTTTATTGCCAAATCCTGCTACTACATGTACCAGATCAGGAACATCGGCTGTATTCGGCAGTTTCTAACTGCAGATGTATGCAAGACTTTGGTGCATTCACTTGTTACCTCTCGGTTGGATTATAGTAACGCCCTGCTCTGTGGTATATCTGACAAACAAAATAGTCGTCTGCAGAGGGTCCAGAACACTGCAGCACGACTAGTTACTCGTACTCGAAAGGGATAGCACATCACACCTGCGTTTTATTCGTTGCACTGGTTACCTGTACGATACAGGTCGCAGTACAAAATTCTGGTATACACATACAAGGCACTGAATGGAACAGTTCCTCAGTACATACAGGAGCTTGTTACCCTGTATCAGCCGTTAAGATCACTGCGGTCGGAGTCAGAATCTTTGTTGTGTGTCCCAAAATCTGGTACTGTGACCTACGAAGACAGATGCTTTGGGAGGGTTTCGGCTACGTTGTGGAATAGCTTACCATCTGCTATTAGGAAGTCAAATACCCTGGCCAAGTTCAAGAGGGACTTAAAAACTCACCTCTTCACTTCTGCATTTTAGAATCTTTGCAAAGACGTCATGTAAATACCACCCTTTTATTTGTTCATTTATGTGCACATTGCTAGTTAAATGTATGAAAGTGATTGAAAGCATTTGTTGTTTGTTTTCACAATTATAACCATTACTATTATCCATATGTTGTAAAGCGCCTTAGAGTAATTTTACAAATTATATAGGGCGCTATATAAATGTTGTATATTATTATTATTATATATATGTCACCAAGATATGTCTAAGACAGTGGACAATTCTACCACAAAACTAATGTTATACCTTGGTACCATACATCATATATATGTTACCAAGATATGTCTAAGACAGTGGATGCATCTAACACAAAGCTAATGCTATACCTGGATACCACACATTAATTAACGTTACCTAAATATGTCTAAAACAGTCGACACATCTGCCACTAGCTAATGTTATACCCAGGTACAACACATTTGATATATATTGCCAAGGTGAGTCGTCTAAATAAGTTTGGACGTCTTCAACAAAACTGATCTCTTCCCAAGGTAGGTCTAAAACACTTGGAGCAACTAATTGTCTATTATGTATAAAACACTTGGAACAAGTAATTGTCTAATATCTATAAAAACACTTGGAGAAACTATATTTAATATGTTGATGATTTTATAGCTAGTGTGTTGATGATTGTATAGTTAGATTGTACACAAATTCTATAGTAAGTAAGTACATGGATTTGTATAGAAGGTGTGTACATGGATTTATTTCTTAATATTTAAAATTATATCAAAATTCTAATAACAAAATCCGACTTCGATTTCGTGATTCAGTCATATTCTTTATTTCAAATCACAGTCATTGCTCACGTTTAGAGTGATATTTAAATCCGTCAGATTATTTATTTTCGAATATGTCACCATCGTAAGGGCGTTCTGTATGTCCACGTGACTTTACACGCCGGAGTTGTCTTTGATCCACTGCCGAAAGTATGTGATCCGGGTGTACACTGAGGGGTAGATTGCGGGACATCCAAGAGCCCCGAATGACGTCACTCCGACTAAGGTGTCCCCACAGGTCAAAGGACCTCCACTGTCGCCCTGATTGAGCACAAACATAAATAAATACAGTATAAAGATAAATGGTGTATTACAATGGAGATAAAATGTCTTTCAGTTTGTTCTACGTCTACACTATAGTAAGCATACAGTTATTTCTATCTATCATTTTACCTACATTATAGGGTCTACATAGAGTACTATATAGGATAGCTTATAAAGGTACTTCCCTACTTCTCATTTTTTTGTGACAGCTTTCAGTATTTTTCCTGTACTTACAGCATTTGAAATTATATTAAAAATTTCAATCTATTTTTATATCTAAATAAAGGGCTGTTTGGAGATTACTCCAATTTCTCCTATTTCACTTTATTCCCATTAAAAACACATACAGTGCTATGCACAGTGTTATTATACATGAATATCCTTATACTTACATTACAGGATGCAGAATCGTCAGATATAAGGCACACGTGTCCGTCGTTAATATAACTACCAAATACATCCGTACACCATTTCGGCTTCATCACAGTCATTTCAGCTTTTTGCAGGACTTCAGGAAGAACTGTTCAAGATAACATGTTACTTCCTAAACTTTCTTAAATATTGGTGACATAGCGTGGCCATATACATACGCGAAAACGCACCTCCTATATTTTATGATGGCAAAATCACTAATTTAACCTTAATTCTGCCATAATGGCACATACATGTAGTGTTAAAAAATTACTGAAGGATTAAATCATTTTTCTTTCATTGCAAATGTATTAATCGACTTCAGTTCCGAAATTTTTTTAGATATATCTCACTGAGAGAAGGCTTTATCTAGATGTTTTTAATTATTAATATAACGTTTAAGATTAAATATTCTTAAAATCGGCATATACTCTCTTTTGTTGGGTTTGAAAAAGTGTAAAATATTATTCTTATTGTTAACCTCATTTTAAATATCTGCGATTTTTAAGTTATGTAAAGGAATACTGACAGACTACAATATTTGCATAACAACTTCGGTATGGTACACCAGTTGGTATTTATATCCTGACAGACTACCATGTTTGACACACCACCTCGGTATGGTACAACAGTTGGTATTTATTTCCTGACAGACTACCATGTTTACCAAACAAACTCTATAGTGTACAACAGTTGGTATTTATATCCTGACAGACTACCATGTTCACCACACCACCTCGGTATGGTCCAACAGTTGGTTTTTGTATCCTGACAGACAACCATGCTTACCACACCACCTCTGTATGGTCCAACAGTTGGTTTTTGTATCCTGACAGACAACCATGTTCACCACACCACCCCGGTATGGTACAACAGTTGGTATGTATATCCTGACAGACTACCATGTTCAACACACCACCTCGGTATGGTACAACAGTTGGTATTTGTATCCTGACAGACTACCGTGTTCTGGTATCCTGACAGACTACCATGTTTGCCACACCACCTCGGTATGGTTCAACAGTTGGTTTTTCTATCCTGACAGACAAGCATGTTCAACACACCACCTCGGTATGGAACACAAGTTGGTAGTTGTATCCTGTCAGACTACCATGTTCTGGGATCCTGACAGACTACCGTGTTCTTGTATCCTGACAGACAACCATGTTCACCACACCACCTCTGTATGGAACAACAGTTGGTAGTTGTATCCTGACAGACAACCATGTTCACCACACCACCTCGGTATGGTACAACAGTTGGTAGTTGTATCCTGACAGACTACCATGTTCACCACACCACCTCGGTATGGTACAACAGTTGGTTTTTGTATCCTGACAGACAACCATGTTCACCACACCACCTCGGTAGGGTCCAACAGTTGGTTTTTGTATCCTGACAGACAACCATGTTTACCACACCACCTCTGTATGGAACAACAGTTGGTATTTATATCCTGACAGACTACCACGTTTGCCACACAAACTCTAAATTGTACAACAGTTGGTATTTATATCCTGACAGACTACCGTGTTCACCACACAACCTCTGTATGGTACAACAGTTGGTATTTATATGCTGACAGACTACCATGTTTACCACACGAACTCTATGGTGTACAACAGTTGGTATTTGTATCCTGACAGACTTTCATGTTTACCACACCACCTCGGTATGGTACAACAGTTGGTAGTTGTATCCTGACAGACTACCACGTTTGCCACACAAACTCTAAATTGTACAACAGTTGGTATTTATACCCTGACAGACTACCGTGTTCACCACACAACCTCTGTATGGCACAACAGTTGGTATTTATATCCTGACAGACTACCATGTTTACCACACGAACTCTATAGTGTACAACAGTTGATATTTGTATCCTGACAGACTACCGTGTTCACCACACCACCTCGGTATGGTACAACAGTTGGTTTTTGTATCCTGACAGACTATCGTGTTTACCACATCACATCGGTATGGTACAACAGTTGGTAGTTGTATCCTGACAGACTACCATGTTCACCGCACCACCTCGGTATGGTACAACAGTTGGTATTTGTATCCTGACAGACTACCATGTTTACCACACCACCTCAGTATGGTACAACAGTTGGTATTTATATCCTGACAGACTACCATGTTTACCACACCACCTCGGTATGGTACAACAGTTGGTATTTGTACCCTGACAGACTACCATGTTTACCACAACACATCGGTATGGCTCATCAGTTGGTATTTATAGTCGTGATGTTGCCACACTGTTCTAACATCGGGGAGAAGGGAGATAACTACCTTGACCGTAAACTGAATATCCCCATCCCGTTATAGTACAGCGATGAGGAGCAAAGTCTTTGCTGTTTTCGTCGGGTAAGTTCGCCACTGACGCTGCACCTGGTCCAATGATGGATTCGTTGAACTTGAGAATTGCGATGTCATTTGGAAAAGCTCCAGCACCTACGTTATATTCTTCATGCTGTAAATAATAGTTATAGCACAAATTCATTATATTACAAAAATTACATTCAGGCAACCACCATTACCGTGTGATATCTTTTACATATTATAATATTTTTTAACAATGATATTAAATTTGAATTTTCTTTTTATTGACGTAAATTACATTGATGAGCTATCCACTCACTACCTCACAACCCTGATAGTAGGGAAATGGGAAAAGATTCACCTGCTGTTACCCACGGCAGGTATCATAGGAGGCGACTAATATGGGAACCAAGTGCAGAATTGGGAATTTGCTTTGGTGTCCTGTATTTGGGGACACAACGGGGACCAAAATAAATCTGCTGCACCCATTGAAATATTTGGAATCTTTTACTTTCTTTCTACTTCTAACTGCCTTCTATTTCCTAGCGCCTTGCTTGGCAACACCACACTTTTTGGCTTTAATGTTGAGCATTCGCCCAGGTGATGATGGCAATGGGTTCTGTCCCCAGGCCGGGACATGCCAAAGTATAATGTGACCGGGTGGAATGCTGTGCTGGGTGCCTTCGGCATGGTATTTCTGTGAGATGGCACTATAAAGTCGGCACTAGAACCGTGCTATCACAAGGAGTCAAGCACACCAAGATACCCTGTCTCCTGCATACAGACACGCAAGCGCGAATACACAACACACATGGAGGCACGTCCTTAAATGACCTTAGCTGTTAGTAGGAGGTTAAACAAAATTTAACCAAACCTTTCATTACCACAATCTTATCTACACCTTGTTCTATTTTTAATAGGGAATAGCCATTCGCCAGATAATTTCAGCCGGAGATAAAGTCAATTATAAAAGTTATACATACAACAACTGTTTCGGCTACTGCAAATACTAGTCCTCCTCTTGACCGTGCTTTGGAGCCGACTCGAATGGAGAAATAGCTTTTCAATAAAAGAAAAGAAAACCTCTCTGTATCAATAATTCTATCATTGAGTTATGTATATAACACATAGTCACTATTCCTTTAGTTGGATGACGTACTATTAGTATATGTGACATGACTATAGTCACTTGTTTAGAAACAGGATGATTGAGTGCTTAAAACATAACTATTGGTGATATAGGTCAACGATGGTGTGTATGTAAAACATCATCAATATTTCAAATTTCGGATCCTAGATTTTTCCTAAATTTATTCATTAGTTCAATGGTTGGGCGATTGAATATGACAGATATCTCGTATTTCTCTATGGTTAGAGGATGGGGTTTATCTAACATGTATTCCGTTGTTCTATTTTTGAACTATGGAGTGTATCAAACAAATATATAGTTCTATAGTTCCACGATCGAGTGTAGCTAACATGAATTTCTTGATTCTACAGTTGGATGATGGAGGGTAACTAACCTTTTCCCAAATGTTTACAGTTAGATGAAGGAATGAAGTCTAACATGTATTCCGTAGCCCAGAGTTGTTAATTATTGAGTGTGTGTATTTATGTTTCATTAATTTACAGTTGGATTATAATGTTTGTAATTAATAGTCCATAGCTCTATGGTGAGATGCTAAATGAAATACATATTCCGTTTATCTATGGTCAGACTACGTATTTATGAGAGGGCGTTAAGGAAACCCTTCTTTAAAGCACAGTATAGTGTAAAGGGATAGACCATGGTATTCCATATAACCCAGCCGTACTGACAGAGCCTATAACCGAGGTATTAAATATCGATTCTTAATGGAATGCACAACAATGGCACATACAATCGGAACCGAAAGTAGAGATATTGAGGTACAAACCTTGACGGCGCCCAGGAGACGCAGTGAGCTGCAGTTATTGCTACCTTGTCGCTCACCACTACCGCTCCACACACGTGACTGTTGCTAAACATAAGGGAAGCTTGCCAAGGATATTCGCATATTTCCGCGTCGTTGCCTCCAATGATTCTGCTCCCTGGGTGAGACTGCAAAATAACAAATAAAGATATTCCTATTCAAAATTTAAGGATATGATTCAAATATAATATAATGTCTAATCAGACGAATGACATCCACGGGGAGTGGGCAACGAATACTTGTATTTTATCAGATTGGTATTAGCACAGATATGCATAGGTTTTAATCAACAAAACTTCAGTTAGTATTTAAGCATTAGTTATATTTCCATTATGCAAATTAGTTTATACAGTCTGCCATGTTCACATGTTACAAATTAAACAATATTTACAAGTGCAATACGATGAGGACAGAACACCCTTATCATACCTAAGAGTTGTATAAAAATGTCAGAGTGATACTAGGGATTATACATTGTTCTTTTACATATATATATATATGTATGTATTCTATATACATGATGCAGTTAAATTTACCAAAATGAGTACTCTAAAAATAATGTTTTCATTTCGTCAGCGCAAGATGCTTACGATTTTTAATGCCAATTGGTACTTTACTTTCATAAAATCACATTATGAGAACTCATTTGATAGTGTAGCACAACACGAGTGACAAGAGTTGAAGATTGGTTAGAAATTTATTATGCTAACCTCAATTGTTACGATCGGTCTCTGTCGTATGTACCTTAGTGTGGTCTCTAACCGTCCCTAGTCATTTTAGCATCATCTCCCGCCGTCCTTAAACCCATCATAACTAATTGTTACGGGCGTAACTAGTCAGTTGAGGCCTAGGATCATAAGATGCATCCAGCCATTATCTCCCTTAAGGTCCATAACCCATCAAAAGCATGCCTAGCTGGTCAGTGGGAACGTAAACACGTCTGATTAATAGTACTGGTTTCAATTAGTTTTGTCCTATACGTAACCATCTACGCCTATACGACTACACCCTCATAAACTAGCTCAGTTACGAATCCGTTGGTCAAAACTTCCTGGCCTGTCCGTTCTCGGGCTATTTATAATCAATAACGCAACGTCGTAACACCGACTGTGTTACAATAGTCCATGTATAGAAAAAAACGACTTTTACAAACAACACAGGGAATATGTGTTGGATACTCTGATTTTGTCTTACATGTTTTGAGTATTTAATGTCCCATGTCATCATAATAATCTCAGAGAATAACTTTTGTTCTGGTTTCAACAAGAAAGCAACGAAACCCTGGACGATGTTTACAAGAAACGTACATACACCAATATCAGATAGGTATGAACAGGACCCGCATGAAAATAACGTATAAATTATAAAGTATACAAATATCAGGGAGATACGGACATGATTCGCATAAAAATACTTACTATAATTACGAATTAAAGAAGGACCTATATAAATATTTAGTGTGTCGATGCATAAAGCTAAATAATTAAAGTAGCAAATAGCATAGCGATGTTGACAGGATCCAATTCATGTTTAATTGATGCTCGTATGGGCTATGTGCACCAGCTTTGTGTTTCAGCTATATAGAGTAGCTTTGTGCATCAGATATGTGTAATTGTTTTTGTGTATCAGCTTAGTTTCAGCAGTATGTATCAGCTAATGTGTTGTGTATAAGCTTTGTGTATTGCATATGTGTATCGGATCATATTTTTTATATCAAATGCATGCTTCAAGGATGTCAAAAGATACGTTATAGTTCATTCATGTAAATGTATTTGGTCCCTTCGTCCGAGGACGCGGAAGAAACCCTCTCATAGATGATGCAAGGCCTTCACTTGTATTGCCTAATACTGCAGTAGAATCGCGATGAAATGAATATCTAGAGTAGAAACACCTTGGACATCATATTAGAGGAGACATTGTTTGAACTATGGATTGTGTTAGGAAGCGAAGAAGATGTTAAACACATATCACTATGATTACATCATAAACATTTCAGTAATAGCGACAAATTGATAGTGAAATATTTAGATTCAACAGGCGAACAATTATAAGATACTGAAGCAAAATACAGCAGTTCCCTTACGAATGCTGGTTGGTTATCATGTTTTAATAACTCAACATGTTTAATTTAAACAAGATAAAACGAGTGTTTATTATAGAATGTAAAATAAAACTGTAAGCAACCTCCATGAGTTTGAGGAAACCATTTCTTCAATATTGTTCATATTACATCTTGAGAATCATGCTTCTCTTGGAAATACATAAGTTCTTTGTATAATACCATGAATCACTGTCAAAGATGTTGCCTGCTCAAAACATCGTTACGCGACTACTTAATTCAAAGATAAGCCAATGGAATCACGTCAAGGTTACTACTTATATGAAACGTTTACCACCTCCATTTTATGTTTATCTAATACTTCAGGAATGAAGAAGCAAAAAGTGGTTCATGATAAAAATATGTATATCAACATGAGGCATGCACGCTGCATATGGTATATTTATTTGATATAGAAAACTTGAAAACTACGTACCAATGCCTGCTGAATGATGTCTTCATTGGGGTGCACAGGTACTGGGGGAAGTGTGGAGCAAGCTGTCAACAAGGAGAAGAAGATGATATATTACATACAGGGTACATTTGTGCCTGATCGTGTAATACTTTCGGAGCTGTCTTTTGGAATAAACTACAAGCACTCAATGAAATGATCATTGCCCTGACTTGATAAAAAAAGACAACAGGTACTGGGAAGGCCTGACCGAAAAGGAATACACCACTCAGACTTCCGTTTTCTAAAGTCTATTAGGACAAATGCATGGTAGATACCAATATGTAGAGTAAAACCTACGAACTTATTTTTAAAAGCGTCATTCATTAACATCGAAAAGAAAGATAAAAGTGCCGCGAACAGGGAGACGACTTACCTCCGAATGCTACCAAGCATATAGCTACGATGAACTTCATTGCTGCTGTGATCGGTGATTAGATCAATGAAGTGCTAGTCACTTTTATACACCTCAACCCGAGCACCAGCTGTCTGTTCCAAACTTCTCAATATGTCAAGTGGTCCCAAATGTGTTTTACCCAGGTCATACTACATAGGTGTTGCGTCAAAAGGTCATAAACACTTCATCATGATACTAGTTTCTCCGGTAAGTTTGATTCTTGTCAAATTAGAAGAGAGTGATAAATAACGAAACGACCAATGTTAAAGGTTATGGCTGTAGTGACCATCGCGTTTAACACAACAAATAACATATGTTCCACCCTCAAAATGATCCAAAGCGATAATACTAAATATCTTCATTCTTATCACATGTACTTTCTTTTGCATTTCCTTTCCTTTATAAAGTTGCTTCAGGTTCAGTTGCGACTAGAATGAAAAAGGTATTAGTTAAACTTATAAATATAGATCAGTCTGGCTTTATTTCAGGTAGGTATATTGGTGAAAATACCAGAATTATATACGATATTATGCACTATGCTAAAGAAAATGATATTCCAGGTATGTTACTGACTGTTGATTTTGAAAAAGCCTTTGATTCGGTTAGTTGGGATTTTATTGATAAATTGCTTGATTTTTTTTGTTTTGGGAAAGATATAAGGAAATGGGTCCGTATTTTTTTAAATGGTTCAAACTCATCTGTTAATCAGGGGGGAATTTGTCTTCGTTTTTCAATATAAAACGTGGAAGTCGCCAAGGTGACCCCATCTTTCCATATTCATTTATTTTATGCGCTGAGATACTAGGAATTAGAATTAGAAATAATGTTAATATTAGAGGAATAAATATTGAAGACACTCCCATACTATTATCCGAATATGCAGATGATACATCAGTCATTCCTAATGGGTCTAGAAATTCTTTAAGAGAGACACTGAGAGAATTAAAAAAAATATGCAGATATATCTCGGTTAAAGATAAACAAAAGTAAGACTGAAGTCATTTGGATAGGAAGCATGAAATACAGTTAGGAAAACTTTTGTCCAGAATGGAATTTACATTGGGGAAACTATTAAATTTACTATTTTGGGTATTGACTTCCGTGTAGATTTACATAGAATGGTAAAAATGAATTTTGACAAAAAAATAGTTAAACTTAAATCCCTTTTAAATGACTGGAAGAAAAGGAAACTTACTTCTATTAGTAAAATACACATAATGAAATCATTGCTGGTATCACAATTCAGTCAAATCCCGACTTATCCGTAATTAAAAGACTAAACTCAGAACTCTACAACTTTCTTTGGAATAGTAAAGTAGACAAAGTAAAAAGGGATATTATAATAAAAGACTATAATGAAGGAGGTCTGAAAAAGATAGATTTACATTCTTTTATTACAGCGCTGAAGTTAACATGGATTAGAAGATTATATTCTAAATCAAGTAAATGGCAAAGTATCCAAGGAAAAAGTGTTGACTTAGGCATTTTGGCTAGCTGTGGATCAGGATACATAAAAGAATGTGAAATGAAGTGTAAAATCCAGTTTTGGAAAGATTTATTTAAATGTTGAAGGTGTCTTAAAGAGAAAGAACAGACTTTGGTAAATGGGAATGATTCAGTTTTGAAAACACATATCTGGTTTAATGATTTTTTTTACTGTAAATGGAAAAATGTTTTTTTTATAAAGAATGGTATAACAAAGGAATTGTTATTGTTAATGATGTAGTTAAATTTCCAAAAATATATACCTTTTACCATTTTCAGGAATTTAAGGGAACATATAATATCAACTCTAACTTCCTAACTTACCATGGCATTGTAAAATCCATCAGGGAATATACAGCACATATACGATTAGATGACGAGAGCATCTCTTACCCATTACTACCAACTAATTTAGAAATTTTCAAAAAAAAAACAGTAAAGGGTCGAAAGATTTCTACAATATCCTTTGTCGAAATAACACTATTCTTACAGGAAAAAGAAAGTGGAACAACATATTTGAAATAGATGAAGAAACTTGGAGAAGTATATATGCAACCCCTTTAAATTTCCGGGTTACTAAAAGCTCCAAATTACATTGGCTGCATTACATAATAAACCAACACATATTAACAACAAATTATTTTTTATTCAAAATTGGTTTAACTGATAGTCCACACTTTTTCTTAGGTAAAACAGAAATAGAAACAGTTATATATTTATTTTGGGAGTGCAGAGAAGTGCAGACATTTTTTGAGAACTTTGAATTTTTATTAGATGCTCTATTGATTCCATTTACTTTTAATAAAGAAACTTTCATTTTGGCATGCACAACAATAAAAAATATATACTACACAACAGACAATTTTATATTAATCATTATGAAACAATACATCTATCGAGCAAGATGTTTACATCAAACTTTATCTGTGTCAGCATGAAAATCTATTATTAAAGATAAGTATGTGACTCAAAAATATATTTGCGTTAGTAAGGGTAATGAGAACGTAGCAAAGTTTCATAATGTATGGAAAAAATGGAATAAGCTGCTAGAAATAACACCCATCCCCTGACAGGACAAGAATAAGAAATAATCTATGATATTTTTCTAATTGATATTTTCATGAATGTTAATCAATTTGTTGTTTATGTAATTTCACTGCAACCTTAAGTTATAAGAGTAGTATAAAACGTCTCTCTCGATGAGGATGTCGATGTATTATTGTTGATAAGGATTGATAATAATGATAATGGCGTAGATGAATGAATTATATTTATCATGATGATGATGATAGTTTAATGATTAGGAGTGCTGAAAGTTAATTGTTGAAATTTATGATGTAATCATTGCTTGATTGACGTGAATGATAAAGATAGATAAAGTTGATGAGGAAACTTGTTGAATATGTATAGAAAGCATCTAAGTGATGAGTCTAGTAGGTGTTTTAGAAATTAATATGGAATATTATCTGGACCTGAAGCAGCCATGTGATTTTCTGGTAAGGTAAATGGTGAATTGTTACTTTCCCTGTGTGATGATTTGAAGTTTAGCCTAATTTTGTCCTAAATGGTACCAAATGCATTTTTACCCAGGTCATACTATATATATAGGATATAGGATCTTACATGAGTTTCCATTTCATATGAAATTGATGAAACGAGTCTAATAATTTTTCAATTAAGCGAGCTTAAATGAAAAGTTCGTTTCGAGTTTCATTTATTTCATATGAAATGAAAACGAGTGTAAGATTCTTTTTTATCACGTAATCAAGATTTGTGGCATTTATTCGTGCAAAACGACAATTTTCTTGCAACCTTGAAATGTAAAAAGCCGCCATTTTGACTCCAGTTCTTAAGTCTGTGACGTCCTGTACCAATCACAGGGCTATTAGGTCATATTACATGGGTTTATACGCAAACAAATATGACATTGGTATATTCACTGGATAGCACAGTACATTATGTGATAAAAGGGGTTGTAGAACACTTTGTATGCTACTTGTTTCTTCCAGCAGACTGTGTATGCTGTCACCCACTTTTTCATCATCGCTTATATAGGTCAAGTGACAAATACGTCATGGTAATAGTGATCAGGATGTTTGAGGCCTAATAAATACCTTATGTTCTGTTCCCAAGATATAACCGCTGAGCAAGTCGAAGTATGTTATTACAGGTACATGTATTTGCTTCAACGTTTAATTTCTCATCAACTATTCATTTTATAATAAAAAGTTTCATATGAAAGCTTGATATCATTTTTATTATATTAATGCATTAATCAAATACAGAATATATAACTTTGTAGTTTTGACGTTAGAGACCCTATGATGTAGAAGTCAAACTTGTCCATATTGCCGTAACCAAATTTGACATTCTTTCATTCTCTCATTCCGTCCATTCCCTTTTTGTCGTCTATATTCACTTTATATTTCATTTCATGGTGCACCTTTTACTTGTTTCCTTGATACATTCACCAATAAATTAATCTTCAAATTGTTAACGATAAGATTCATCGTTGAAAATTTAAATATATGATGCAATGTAAAAAGAAAATGGATAATGTATCCATTGCTAAATTGTAAAGGTACAGTCACCTGTGTGTGTTGCCTTCATCTCTCAAGATACAAAGTGGTAGACTCTGCTGGTGTATTGTTTAGTCCTCGAAGTTTGCTGTAACCTTAATGACCACAGTTATCATGTTAAGGTATTTGCAGGGATCAAACTATACACACTTTACCAAGTACCCAGGTATTAACTAGTTACTCCCCTAATTTGTGAAATTCGTAACATTTAAGATATTTTACGCACCTCCCCTACTGTTTCAACAGTAATATAGAGCAAACTGGATTTCCATCTTTTTTGCCCTAGCCTCAACGATTATTCCTAGAAGCACGATACAGCTTTGTGGTGCGGTGTAGTTCATTGTTGCACTGGTATCTATAACTCCAAAGTTACTGCGAATCAATTTATATTATTTTGGAAAAAATATTCTATTATCGATTTTATATTGACCAATAAAAATGGTACTTTCTATTTATTTCCGTAGATTGTCTACTCGGCTGCAGATAAAGCGACAGTAAGATATGTAGTTGTTATTTTACATCTTTGATACATACACAAAGTTATCAACATACTAACGCAATTGCATTGTTTTCTGCTATTTTCGGGTAGGTTTTGCTTTCAAATTGTTATCAATTGCGTTAGTATGTTGATAACTTTGTGTATGTATCAAAGATGTAATTTCAATCAAATAATTCTGTTGTTCAATTGCGTTAGTATGTTGATAACTTTGTGTATGTATCAAAGATGTAATTTCAATCTAACGCAATTGATAACAATTTGTAAGCAAAACCTACCCGAAAATAGCAGAAAACAATACAATTGCGTTACACGTTAAAAACGTACGAAATGATTGTTTGTGTTTTAAAGACAAATAAGTCATTAAGAAGCATCTCCCTATAAAGTACTTGAAACATTCACTCCGCACCATGATGTCGAGGAAGGACATTTCTTATGATATGTAATTGGGAAGGAGTGCTGCTACATTAACAAAGCAGCAACAACAGTTGTTGATT